AGGTGTACTTTGCCTAAAGCCACAAAATAATACCTATGCCAAGAGTAGCGAGATTACGGTCAGTCCGCAGGTGAGCTGGTGGAAGTTTGCCAGAATGATTTTAACCCAAAACTGGAACCGAAGGAGAAGTTCCTTTTTTGACAGTGGAAAAGAAAGTAACAGGGGACAGATAGCGTCTCAAACTCCGCAAATAATTTTAATCAATCAACCTCCTTATACACAAAACTACAACCGCAACCAAACCACCGAAAATCCTGTTTTTCAAGGTCGCGCGCAGAACACTCACCCACGTTATAAAACGAACTAAGTGATGGCTGGTACAAAACACAACCACCTTTCGGTTTAGACAAAAAACCTAAACAGCTAGAGGTCACAAAAAAGTACAATGCTTTTGAACTGCGACATCAACACAGTGATACGTTTGGTTGGTTTGGGGGAATCACTGTGTGTGTGTGGTGCAGGAGCCCCGGGTAAGTCGAAGGAAGCACGCATGTCTCGTTAATATGGGCCCCGTTAATATTGATGCCCCCCTATGAGGACGCCACTTTCGTGGACAGACTGGGAAAATACATGCATTTTTGTTTCGTTATTATGGACAACTTACATTATGGACCATTTTTGTTTTACGGGAACGGAGGTGTCCATAATAACGAGACATCACTGTATCGTCCCTTTGGTCCCTGATTTTCTTGTGGGCGCAGCCATTCTTTTTTTTCCTAGAAAGACTGCGTTATTGGCGATAGCTAGCCTTCGAAACTCCGGATCCCTCGGCTTTGAACATGGTGTCAGGAAGTTTAAGTAATGCCGTTTCGCTTGGCGCGTCAGACTGGTTTAACACTTCCGGGGGACCGGACAGCGTTTTCCGCGATTTCGCCTAAAAGATTTTTTTTTCTTTTTTAACTGGCAACAATGATTCGTAGTACCGAGAGGGTAGAAGTGCCGTTACGCTGACCCGTATAGCTTCGCTCGTGACTCCAGGCCCAGTATATACACCAACGCGCTGCTTCCAAACAAGTCCGCTTCGGGTGCGCAGAAACCAGAATCCAGTGAAGTGAACCGTCGCGTGCGCTGTTCCGACACAGCGCCACACCAGGGGTGAGCCGTCAGAGACGCGTGTTGGTGGCTTGCGGACCTCAGATCTTTTTGCTACACTGTTAGCAAGTGCCGTGTATTTGGTGAATATTTGGGGTGAAAAACACGCTATTTACACAAATTACCATAAATTTACACGATGAGTAACGGATAATACGTTCAGATATCATGCGAGGTTGTAAAAAACGTGTTTTGGTTCGGTCATACACGCATAACCGTGTAGCCGACCTCGATAACACGCATCGCCTCCGGCGACGACCGCGGCATTGCCGGCTATCGAAGCACCGGAATGCTTGGGGACACACTTAGAAAGGACCGTCGAGACAAATGCCGCCGAAAGAAACATGTCTCGGAAACAGATATGCACCAAAAGCAATTACGCCATGTCGCGGGACGTTGGCGAAACCCGCGCTTACCGTGGTTCGCCGCCATTTTCTGGTCGATGGCAATGCGGCTTCCCTCATGTCGCCCATGTTTGCATTTAGTTTAGGGCTCTTGATAATAGTTTCTTACACACCACAAATAAAGTCATGGGTCCAATTATTCGTTCCAAACAGTTAAAATGGATATAAAAAGCGTGTCCTCGATGTGAACACGTGACATTGCAGTTGGTTTCGTTTTTGCTTCAACCTTCAACTGCAAGCGATCTGGCCACGGCGCAAGTGCAACGCCGATGTACGCTGGAAGCAAGCGCCGGTTGGCTTTCGTTCTTTTTGTTTGACTGGAGAAATTTCTGGCAGTCGCTATTGTTTTGGTTTGACGGGACGCGAGAAGCTTCGCATAGAGCTTCGCAGTTTGCGAGCACATAGTGAAGACGTGACCGGAGAAGTGCCCCTGTGACGTTCCCGGAAGACGGAAAGTACCAATCGTCGTGTGTGCTTTGAAAGCGAGGGGAGTCACGGGTCCACGAGTGCGCAACCACAAGCCAAGGTTCACGACAGCGCTGCGTTCTTCGGCGATCTCGTTCTCTTTGGGGCAACACGGCGATGCGAGAAAGGGCCGAAACGTTCGTGGTGTGTGGTGCGGTGCTTGTAGGTAGAAACCCGCACTAACGCGGAGCTCATATTGGTTGTTGTGGGGTTGCGTTTGGCGGGTTTAGCCCCGTCGTCGTCAGCTGATCCGGTCCAGCTGGTCGGGGAGGACGCAGCGAGCGTTCTTAAAAGTAAATCTTCCTTCGTTCCGTTTCAAAATGTGGAAGATTCCCGACGCATACCGTGAGTAAAATGCTGCGGCCGTTTTCAACAAAATTACGTCGTTTTAATTGAACAAGGGACTTCGGATAGTTTCCCTAAATCTGCCGTTTCTATGCTTCGTGTCGTTAGACTGCATTTGCACAGCGACGTGTTCGCACAGCGACGCACACCGCTCGAGTAGATGATTCGGTCCCGCAAACGACCGGTTATACAGAATTTCAGGGAAACTTAAGTCACCACCGATGTTTTCCTGTAAATCTCGTGTGACTCGTGTGAGTTTGTTGCGCTCATCATGCGGTGTGAATAAACTATAGGGCAAGATTTTCTACCTGCCCACAGATCCATGAACTGAGACCAATTTTTTACGTAGAGAACATAGTGGTTTTCCTTTACATTGGGAAAAGGCCCGAATATGTCTCTTTTCCCTCTGGCACTGCCCCAAGTTTCAAGTTGCAGTTTCAGTAGACATACCTACTAACAGGTACAAACTGCTCTAAAGCAGGTAAAAGACTGGAAAGTCAGGACGGTGCGGACACCGTGTTTTGCGCTTCTCGCAAGGTGACTGACGCTTTTGCGAGGTATGCGGAATATGCAAACGATTTTGTTATGCCCTTCGTTTGCGTCTCCAGAAAAAAGAATAAGATTATTTACAAATTTAGGCGCAATCACAAGCCAAGATTTACGATAACAGTGCGTTCGCTTCGGTGGTCCGTGTAGTGGTATTATACGCTGCTTTCTGCAACACCGCGTCATGACGAAGAGCTGGAACGGTCACGGTCTGTGCTGGGCTAGCGGTTGACAGAAACCCGCATCGCCCGCATCGGCACCGAGTGCACTTGGGCTGTTGATGCTCGAGCCTTTCATACGCGGCTTGTCGCCAGCTGATCCTGCTGCTCGACGGTGAGGAAGCGGCGAGTGTGACCTCTGAAGTAAATGTAAATCCTCGTTCATCCAGTTATCCAGTGTCAAAGTGTGGAAGATGTCCAACGTGTACTGAGGGCGGGAACTACGAGCGTTTTGCCTTGCTTTTATAACCGAAACCAGAGCAGCGAGATAATTGCCTTGCGTACTCCAAAATGACGCAAGCAATATGTTTCAACAGGTCGAGTACGTCACCGCGGATGTAGGCGAGACTGTGCACTGTTTAAACGCTTGCAGTATCCACGAGTGCTACCAGAAAAACCACGTCAACAGAGAAGGAGCTCGCGATTTTAGCATAATGCAGTGCCACGGGCTCGTGAATTTTCAATGTGGCTACATAAAAATATTTAAAAAAAAAACAAAAAAAAAACGCATCAGCGCCACATTAATGATCACGAATAACACCGGTCACAAACTCCCAAGCCTCACCGCTTCGCTCGACACCAACACGACAGACGACAACAATCTGCATCAAAACGCCCCAAAAGTGAAGGCGTCTGCTCCCGTACGCGTACTACAACTAGCGGAAGTGAAGTGTTGGGCGGATGTCCTTCACAATAATATATATAAAAAATGCCTTGCGCAAGTATAATTTCCATTGATTATTGAATACGTACTGATAAAATCCCAATCATTTGTTTTTCTATCTGATTCAAGCGAGTCGGACTGCTCATAACACTGGTCGACCATGAAAATAACAAAAATTTGAACTTTTTCATGGCCGGTTTAAGATTTATTGTTAGTACATCGTTGTTTTTCGCAAAGGACTAATTTTACAGATTTTGCCTCCATACTTTTTAAATGCAAACAGTTCTTACATACTGCTGTCCATTGTGCCGTGTTCTGTGTCTTCTTCTATAAATCGGTAACGGTCAGCGACCAAAGAGCTCACCCGTACATGTCAAGCATATATACGCCGCGGGGAGAGTCCGTTGTTAGTAGGAAGTGTCGGGCGTAGTGTCGGTGTTGTGTTTGTGTATGTGTCGCTGCTGTGTCCTACGTGGTGCTCGTCTTGTCTGTGAGGTATGTAGAGTAGCAGTCTACTCGTGATAGTTCCCAGCGTATTAACCCACTCCTGCTTTTTTTTTTCATTGGTTGCTAGAAATCGCACTAGGTGGCGCAAGTTACCGCCCGATTACAAGAGTTTGCTTGAGCTATTTATCCATGTAAATTCAATATTCGTTTTTTTTTTTTTTTTTTTTTTTGTCTAGCGGTTTTGTCGTAGCTGCCGACACCACCAACCGCCGACGATGCACGTACGTACCTTTGCACGTAGCTACGTCCGCCGCTCGGAGACTGTTTACTGTGCATAAAAGACATCGAACGAGAACGAACGCGTCCTGTATGCTTTCAGTTCGGCTGAAAGGCGCGGCTGGCTGGGCTCGTCCCTCGCCTGTTCTCGGCTGCTGGCCGCCATGTTTCAAAAGGAACACGTTGAACCGTGCTTCTCGGAAGGCAAACACGGTGTAGCGTGTTAACTTTACACAGCACCTCATGTGTAGACGAAAAACACAGATGGCTCCGTGTAAAACGAACACGTTTCGACGTGTCCGCTATGGTTCAACGGTTTACACGTCTGGGCGTGTTATTTTTGCTAATAGTGTAGAACATTGCCATGGCACAGGTCACCCAAAAGGAAGGGGGGTTGTTGTGAACTTACGTCGAATATGAGCTTATTCAATGTCTTCCGCCGGAACGGGTGAGCTGCCGGCGTCGCCGATACAGTAAGGGGGGTCACATACGTAGCCAGTGAGGCAGCAGTGCTGATTGTCCGAGCAACAGACTGCATTCTTCAGGGGACAGCAGCCGGCATCGCACTGCGTTTCGGTGCCAGGGCATGCTCCGCCACCGGGGCGAAGTTGGCTCAGGGCTGTCGGGACAAGTTTTATTTCAGTATCAGCCACGTATCTTGGCTGCTGATACTAGACGCTGTTTGCTATATTGAACAAATTAAAAAATATCGCCTAAAACAGATATTAATGCCATGAACACTTGGGCATCGCAGTTCTTTGGGACAAAAATGTGCTTTTTGCCTGCGCATTTAGTGCCTTAAAATGCCCGAAGAAGCCAAGGTAGAACCAAAAGTGACCTTTTCGGCCCAGTCTGGGTTTTGCTCAAAATCGCCTATCAGGAGCCAGAGTTAGTTCTGGTTTTTGCAAAACGTGGGTCAAGTGAGGCGTTTGTTTCTCTAGCTTACTGCTTATGTATGCGAAAGCACATGGTGGGGTTTCCAATGAGCAGCGTTTTTATATAAGAATGCTATGCAATGTGACATGCGGCGAAGAGATTTGGAATGTATGGGGTGTTTGTGAGAGATCCGAACCCGGCTTTTCGCACCGCAAAAGAAACTGGACACCGCGGAGAGCTCGAACTCCGTCAGAACGTAGCCCCAACCTTTCGAGCAAGATGCCAAGGTTTCAGCACCAACCGTGATCTTACTCAGAAGTTATAAGTGATTTTTCTTTTAATTTTAATGGTAAAATGGGGCCCACTTTTGCCCGTTTTCGGTTACGGGGGCCATAGAGCTCCATGTATACGAGAGCTCCGTGGCGCTCGGTGGGAAACGCTGCGAGTCACGCTGGGGGCGAGGCTGGCGAAGGTTAGGTGGCGCTGCGTGTATCAACTAGTGATGACGTTTGGGGTAGAAAAGGTCTTGTCTTCTAGGTTGTATTGGTTAACACCCTCCCTCCCGATCATGGCGCTACACCATTATACACCGTTTCAGGATAACTTGGCGAACTGTGGAAGCTGCGGCTTCCGCGGTCCAATAAGAGCGCCGGAGCAAGGCACGTCATAACACTCCATGGTCGAGGCCACGGGGGCCTCGTTACCGCCACGGCCATAGCGCCGTCCGCGACGAAAAGTAGTTCTAGGCTTCTTTTTTTTTAAACAGCAATGGAACTCGCGCGATTCCATCTCTAACTAAAAGATACGAAGAATAAAGAATAAACAATCACAAATTTATGTGTTTTAATTATATTTGAAGCAAAAAAGTGACGCCACATCTGTATCCACTCTCGATTTTTTTTTTCTACTTGTTGCGCCGTGGCCGTTGCTGACCGCAGCCGTGCAATCGGCCGTTTCCACTCAAAACATCGCATTGCGCCCTGGCATTAGCACCTGACACCAATTCGCGGCTAAATTGAGCGTATGGTTGTCTCATGAACTGTTCCCGAAGTGCTCGCTATTCTAGCGGACGGAAATGTTGCTGCTGTGGACGTTCATCCGAAGTTAGTTGGTTTCGGAGCAGGCGACTCTTGGCTAGCAGACGACAGGCGGTTCCTCCGGGCCACGCGCCTCGCATTTGGTGTAGTGACACACATTCTCCCCTTTCGTCTAGTCACGTGCATCTCTCTAACGTTCTCATTGGACCGCAGAGCCGTAGCCTCCACAGTTTGAAAAGTTATCATGAAACAGAGTATTGTCACGCACGCTATGACGTTTGGGTGTGATTAAAACAACAAAAAAAGGGGGGGGATGTCTTAGTTGGAATGGTTTGTATACACCACTGACACCCTTTTCAAATGTAGATCTTAATAATTTTGAAAACACGTTCTGCGCTGACACCAGGGAGTTCGAGCAGATAGTTTCTATGCCTCCGATAACGATACCTGATAGCGATGCGAGGCATACTCAAAGAGTATCGTTATCAGAGGTATTGAAACGACATACTAAAATTCTTTATTGCCCTTCGCTGCTCAAGGTTCGGTATTAGTGGAGCTGTCAAAGTGCGACCTGAGATACGTATTGGGAATCTAAACTCGGCGTACGGCGTTTCTAGTTTTTAAAGAGATATCATGTGGCACGTACCGATAATGGCAAAGAGCACACCAGCTATAACTCTCCTCGGTGTCATGATCTGCAACATATGAAATATTTATGAGGTTGTGTCGAGCGACAATAGATTAACCTCAAGATATCTTACCACGTGCTCGCCTGGCGATAAAGCGAGTCCCGAAAGGGAGATAAAATACATAGGTGAAATATTTTTCTTCGTAATATAAAACCTGTCTGCGTAACTTTTTTTTTTTTTGTATTCCTTCATTTGTTAGGTTAACAAAGGTGTCTGCTTAGAACTTCACATTTTGGTTAAAAAAATAGGCAAGAGTTAAAAAAAAACACTGCTCCTCGTGCAGAAAAAAAAAATTAGCTCCAGCAATAATTTAATTTCAGAAGGACGAGAGTTCCTCGACAGTTTTCCTGGCGTTTCAACAAAAACAACACCAAACAGCGACGAATTATTAAATGACTCTCCGGCCTCCATTGAGCTGTCGACAGTTCAAGGGTATGTCGAGGATCTTACCGTCGCTCCCCAGCGAACGAGATATTGCTTAATAAGGAGGCTGAAGCAAAGATGCCTGAGAAGTAAGGCACGCCCTGCATTTATTGAGCTGTCAGTGACAACGGCCGCCTCGGTATTGCTATGCCCCTGTCATTTGAGTGAGTGAAAGTACCAACTTACTTTGGAAGATTTCGATTAAGTGCCTGCACAATATTTACCCCAGAAGACGCTCTTCTCGTCAGCTGGTAGCATGCAGTCGGGGCTCCGACCCTTTATAGTCTGTAGCAGCTTTACAACAGCAGGACAGCTCCCTGCTCGCCATGATTGGTGGTTTCCCCCTCCGCACTCTCCTTCTCTGCAAGGTTCGCTCTGCGAACCGTTCAATGCGATTCGAAAGGAAGAGGGTTTTGTCGGAGCATCTGTTCCGCTGTTGCTATAGCCTGCTACAGACTACAGCTCTCGTGGTTTTCAAAGCGAGCAATCAAACAAAAACGCGGTGATAAAAACTAAAGTGTAGGCATGACGAGAAAAATACGTTGATGAAATGCCTTTCCTACCTTGTGAAATCTATGAAAGTGGAATCTAACCATTAATTTTATTACTTTTTTTATTTCTGCCTTTGATGATTCGTTGAGGTCTCAGAGGGTCCCACTAGCACGTGTATTGGACTGAAGCAGCCTCAGGAACAGCAGCATTCTTTTTTTTTTTTTTAGTAAACTGAGATTTTTAATTTTGAAGATTTCAACGTACCTCAACAGGTACAGCCACATAACCGGTAAAGTAAGAGAAATCCTTGTTCACCGATGGTAGTAATTTTAACAAAAAATAAAAAAATACAACTGTTCAACGGTTGCTTTAAGAACGCAGTGTGAGACGGCTTTTAACGTCGGAAACGTTTGCAGTTTGGACGCTATATATTGCCTGTCTTGGCAAGAAGAGAAAACACGCCACCTTGCCTTAATATCCCAATTTTACTTTGTATTTCCAAAGGAAAAAAACAGACTATTTCTCGATCGGCGGCTGTCATCGCGGTCATGGGAACCACAATCTGACGTCATCAAGGGGTAGCTTAGTGAGCAGTGGAATGTTTTACTCAGTTGATGAATACGTTTTAAAGTATCTTTTAGTTTAATATTAAATGTGTTGAAAGCTTGTTACTATTGCCACCCAACACTTACTAAATTTCTATGGGCCTATTCACCCCAAATATACAAGACCATCTCTCCTCTACTATCGGCCACTACCGGCGATGCTGGCCGGGTGCGGTGTGCTGTTGTGACCGAACCGTAGCTTGAAAAGTCAAGAATCGCAGAAAGCGTTGAAGACAAAACTCAATCGCAAACTTGATGTACCCTTAATGACGTCACGATGCAGGTGACGCGAGAGAGAAGGTATAAGAGTTCGGAATACCACAAAGATTATTGTGTTTCATTTTTTTTACCCAAAAACGTAACGCGCCAAAACAAAAATAGTTTCTTTCTTTAATGCTAGAAGTGAGAGACACTATTCCGCCCATACGCTAAAATATTTTACACGCTTTGGGGTGTAAAAACGCTGTTCCAGTGACTTTCCACCATTACTAAACCCTTTCAGTACCGTTACTGCACCATAATACGCCCTTTTCGATCATAGAATAGGGTTATGTTGCATTTAACACCCTTTATCTTAAACGGTGTAAAAAAAAAAGGTTGCAAGAAGATATATGGTGAGGCGAACAACACTTTCGCCGCAATGACATCCGTTTTAGCGAGGTTGTTTTAGTGACGATCTCGACTGACGCAAGCCTCTACCAATGCTCTTTACTGAAGAAACATTTCTGAACTTAGATATATTATGCATTAAGCGAAATGTTGACGAAAACAAAAAAACCGAAGAAAGAACAAAGGCAACTCTGAATGTGTGTCTTTGAATAGTTGAGTATATATAAGGGGGTGAACCAGTCAGCAGGGTAATGGCTCCGCTTTCGTGCGTGATCTATTACGCCCGTACTTGCTGTTTCTCTGCGTGTGTGAGGACTGTATGTGGGGTTTGTTCTTTGCAAACTTGTTGCCCGCAAGAATATCCCTAGGATGCTGCTAACATCGCAAGCTATCCTCCCTATTCGTAGGGCGTACGCAAGCACCCTAACACTGTTCCGAAGACTTACACCAATGTTGTTTTGGTGTTAAACCAACACACGTAGTGTGTTACATCAATAGCCTAAGGGTGTTATGTATTTAGTGTGCAAATCCGAAAATCAACGCAGTGCCTTTCCAAACAGCCTTACGACTGACCCCGGGAATTAACAGGAGGGGTGTCATGAAGAGGTGCGTTGATTGGTTTGTTTCGTTATATTTGGCTTTTCGTTGAACCCTAATACGAATCCCCAAACCCCTGGTGCGCCGTACAATTAACGTGTAGAGTGCAAAGCCCTATCGAAAAATCTAATTGGTATGAGAAATTTCTGTGTCCAATAAACACATATGAATGATACAAGATATGTATGAACCATATGAGAATAGTACAGTATAAAAACCAGGGATGGGCAGTATTTCAAATACAAGTATTTGAAATACGTATTTCAAATGCTTTGTGTATTCTGCATTTGTATTTATTTACAAATTGGGTAATGTATTTGACGTCTGTATTTAAATACTAAAACGTGGGTATTTCAAATACAATTGTAATTAAATACAATTTTGTGGGCGAAAATACATCCCTCAAATTTATTGTCACTGTCCAGAGCAGTAAGAAAACTGCGCTCTGCACCGAATGCAGTCTCTCTCAATCAAGCACAAGCGTTTAGTGACTTTGTGATTACGGTGCTACTCCAGGGCAAGAATAGTGACGAAATCGACGTTCACAGGCAGACTGGCTAAATAAGTGCCTGTGACAACTTCTAATTCTTTCCAGCCTGATTTCCATCCATATTTTTGGATGGAAACCTCAAAAGTTCACCAATTAACTTCGGTACATCAAGTCGCCTCGCCCTGTGTTCCACTATCTGCTACCACCCCCCTCCGAAAGCAGGCAAGTTCCCGATTCGGAAAGCAGTTGAAGAGTTGCGGCGGGGGCAACTCAAATTGCTCGAATCAGACAAGACCAGTGTTTTCGTGGTCGAATCAAAGAACCTATGAAGAGAAGGTCACGAATGCACTGGAAAAGAACTTTGATCAACTAAAGAAGAGGCCATCTGGATCTCTGCGCGCAGAGGCAAAAAGACTGTCGCACTTTGATGAATCTGCCCGCTCTCAAGAAAACACTCGGTTCACCTGCAAAACAGTATTTTTCCGTATTTTTCACAGCCAAGACGCATAAGGAAGGCGTGCCGCTCAGAAGCATCGTATCTGAAAGAGGCTGCTGGCAGAAACCCTTGGCCTTATTTCTACAAAAACATCTCTCCACGGTGACGCTCCTCCTGCGCTTTAGAATTTCAAACTCCACAGATCTTATCTCGCACCTTTCCCCCCTACACTCCACCACCCAGCCACTCTCCATGTTTTCTTTAGACATAGAAGAGCTTTACTACAGCCTAGACCCCCGTATTCTCTTGAATTCCGTGTCTGGATCCATGAACATGGTCTCTGTATATTTCAAAATACCTCAGGGATCACAGTTAAGGATTTCACAGATCTCCTTGCCTTATACCTTCAGCCAACTCTCGTTGAATACAACGGCAACATATTAAGACAAAAGAAGGGTGTTTGTATAGGCTCCTGCCTAGCCCCAATGCTCAGTCAAGTCTTTCTCATGTACGTAGACCGATCAATTAAGTCCCGACTGGATGTTTTCGCCCCCGAATACCGAGTGTTTCGATACGTAGATGACTATCTTGTTATTCATCCGACCTCCATCTCCTCACGGGCCATTTGTGAAGCGTTCGATTCCTGCTCGTCGGGTCTTATGTTTACAAGTGAAGAACCAACAGAAGAGGGACTCCAGTATCTGGATTTAAGGCTTTATCTTCATCCACAAGGCATATGCTGGAGTTTCCAGCAACGTTCAAAAAAAAAAATATGAAAGCCGTTTGCAATTCCCTGTAACGCCGGTTAGGGCGCAGCTCTTGAGGAGGAAGATGGATGCGTACTGAGGGATAGGTGACTCCTTGAGGTCACGTGACCAGGGGGTCACGTGACCTCAGGGGTCACGTGACCTCAGGGGGTCACGTGACCTCGCGGTTACGCCGACGGCGACGGCGACGCCGACGCCGACGCCGCTCAAGCCGGAAACGGGCCCCTAATGGCGCGTTCACACTGGAAGCGGATCCGCGTTCGCGAAGCGGATCCGCGCGTTCTCAACCGCAAAGCGGCTAGGATCGAGCGGTTGGAGCGGGTTTTGACCAACCGCTTCGGGACCGATTTCTCCCAACCGCTTTCACGAACCGCAAAGCGGCAACCAACCACAACGCGACGCTGACGTGACGTCAGTGACTTTCGAAACAAGATGGCACCTGTCGCTGGAGAGGCGTCCAAGGCGCTGTAGTCCTAGCTTTCGACAAATGAACGGAGAAACTTGATGTTCACGTCCGTCATTTGAATGCGCCGCGAAAAGAATTGACTCGTAATTTTAACGGGCTTCGCACCGGTGATTTGGTTCGGGTAAGAGTTTGTTCATTATTCCGAGTGCCACAGCCCAAGCTCGCTGCCTTGTTAATCTCTGCCAGTAGAACGTCGGAACCCGCCCCTGATCGACCGAAATGTCAGCCTTTCTACCCACTAAGATAGTCGCGTGAACTATTGAAAGCTTTCGACATCGTGCATGACCACCACGAAGACCGATAGAGACGTCGTGAACTCGATTGCGTAGCCAACGCACTACCGCGGAGGGGGCAGGGTACCTGCGCTAGCTCGACCTGTAGTGTTTACTACTAAATAAATAAAGGGAACGTACTCAAGGAATAAATAAAATAAATAAAGGGAACGTACTCAAGAAATAAAGTGTACGTACCAGACAATGCAGAGGTAATCCATACGGCGTTTATTTGAGCTTAATGTCAAACAAACCCTAGACTCGATCGACGAGCAAGTGACGAGAGAAGAGTCCGCCACCAACGAAGCCCCGACCGGCTAGCACCGAACACATTTCCCCGCACCACGGTCCACCCCACCGCTCACAACTTCGAAAATGATAAGAGCGAACAACAAGTTCAAAAACGAGGGGGGAAAACTCGCCCTCTATCCCGAAAACAAGGTCAGCTATTCATGCGGGAAGGGTCCACTTCGAAGAAAAGATCGGGGGCATCCTGTTTTGAGTCAGCAA